AAACCATTATGAGATTTGGAAGTTAAAGTTCTTTCTACAACTTTATGGTAAAGGAGCTCCTGAAGTTAATAAGATGATGAGTAGTGAATGATCATTGAAATCAAATTTGTCTTTAAAGTTTAAATTATTAAGAATGTCATGTGTTTCTTGTGTAAAAACATCACAAAGTAAAAGTGAAGGAGAAGGAAGGAATTGCCCTGTCACTTGAATTAGAAATTTGCTCATTGGGGAAGGAGGAGACGTATGTTATAGATGAACTGTCTCTGTTCCATTCTCTCTTCACCATCCTCTTTTTCCTTCCTGGCCTTGTTTCAGTCTACTCATCCTAATCTATTTCCTCTTCTTTCTCCTCTTCCTCTCCAGCCTCCTTTCCCTCATTAAGCCCCTGTCACAAAATCTTCGACTGTCTTTCCTCCTCCAAGAGTTATCAACTGAAGTGCTTTGCAAGGACACATGCTGCTTCTGTTATCACTGAATTTTGTCTCCATCTCCTCCATTAGGGGAAAAACTACTAAAAGTACAGACCTATGTCCAATTAAAATTTGATTTCTCACATGATTATTTAAATAAAAATGCTGATTCTGGAAATGTTCTAGAAGATTAATAATCCTCTGTTTTCTGAGAGTTACTAAGTATCAGGGAAGATTAAGAAATAATTTTTAATCTATTTTATAGAACAGCATTGGAGTCCAGCAAGAGTTATACTGATAGGTGTGTGCAAGATGAACTTGGTTAAATCCCATTTGGGATCATTTTACACGCACACACACACACACACACACACACACACACACACACACAGACAGAGAGAGAGAGAGAGAGAGAGAGAGAGAGAGAGAGAGAGATGAGAAACACTGGCATTCTTCTGTAGACATCTTATATACTACATTTCATATACTACATTTCATCATAATCTCAGTATTTTTAACTTTTGCATTCCTCCTTCCTGTTCTGGTCACTGATGCCCACTGAGTCTATATTATCTGATTGAAAGCTGGAGCAACAAAAGAAATGTACAATGAATAATGTCCGTGATTGTAGTGACTAAGCTAAAGGAGGCATAAGAGGCAGCTGTGTAGAGGGACATAGAATTCACCTAACCGAAAAACAGGAGTTAGGGGACTCCATTCTATTCCTCTAATAAGCACTATACCTAGACCATCTGCCAACATCAGAGACACATGGCTAAGAATACAAGGTCTTAGGCATCAATAACTTCATAAAAGAGGCTACTATGTATCTAAATTCTTGGCCTACTACTTCAACTGCGTCTGTATTAAAATATCATTTTTACATGAGTAGCATGATATGGATTGGACAGTTCTGATTATGATATGGATATTTATAGGAATATATATATCCACACACCTGTATGTGAGCACCTAAATAACAATTTTTGAAAAAAGAGGCCATGCACTAGAAGTGTGAGGAGGGATCTGTAGGAGAATTTTGAGGGAGAAAAGTGACTGAAGAAATGTTATTCCAAATAATAATCTTGAAACTTAAAAAAAAAAGACAAAATACTATCCTGTTTTTTTAATAGTAGGGCAACAATGGCAACCTAGCAATTATTCCCATGCTGCATACAATTCCCACTGACTGCTTATTACTTTCCACTCATAGAAGACCCTGGTTCAGATTCAAGAAGGATGAAAATATCAACTTTCTAATCAGTAGATGACCTGACTTTGGAGAATTTCCTTCACAAAATAGACAGAAACAAGATGAAGAGGACTTGTATTAGCATTCATCCAAAGTGGCACAACTTGACCCACCATACAGGAGGAGGCTTTCCACACCTCTACCCACACCAATGTCTAATACAATGGATTCCTATATTTGGGAAATGATTCCTATATTTGGGGGTGTATCTGGAGATTTCTTGTGACAATATGGGCAGCAACAAATTAAGTAAGATAAATGATTTTAAATAATGGTAATTGTACTTGCTCTTTGACACCCACACATAACACACACACACACACACACACACACACACACACTCACACACTCACAAGCTTGTGTCATAAAATAGCATTTATAAGTTATAGAAAGTAATCAGCAATTATAAAAACAGGGGGAAACTGGTGTTTTTCTAATTTCTAAATACCTACACACACTTCAAAATATGTTCATTGATGTCATTATGTTACTGGAATTTTTATTAAGGTTTTGTGGTAGTTTGAATGAAAAAGGCCCCATAGGCTCAAGGGAACTGGTACTATTGGAAGTGTGGCCTTTTGTGGTAAGTTGTCACTAGTGGTGGGTTTTGAGGTCTCAGAAGCTCAAGCCAAGCCTAGTAGCACAGTTTTCATTTACTGCTGCCTGCCCGATCTGGACGTAGAAATCTCAGCTACTTCTCCAGCCCCATGTCTGTCTGCATGCTGCCATGATTCCTGCCATGATGATAATGGACTATAACTCTGACCTGTAAGCCATCCCCAAGTAAATTTTTCCTTTATAAGCGTTGTCATTGTCATAGTTTCTCTTCACAGCATTAAAAACCCTAACTAAGACAGATTTAAGACTCTAAGACAATATTACAAAATTCAGAACTGTCATTATTTGATCAACTAAAATGTCTGTAGTTTTTACAATAATTATCATTTTG